CAAAATCCCACATACGTTTATATATGCAGTTACACTGGATACATATATGCACACAGACAGAGTAAAAGCAGGGTAAAAACCTTTCAAACATGTCCATTGTCTCCTATTGCACTGCTGTGGTAATGAGCACATCATACTATTCATGCAAAATCTAACTGTACACCTGTTTCAATGCCAGATCCAATTAAGAAGATTACATAATCTAATAAGAGCAATTAAATACTGGCATCACACCTCAGATTCCAGGCAGAGGCAAGTGAGATTTTTTTTTTTTTTTTGCATAATCCCAGAAGACAATCCACACAGGGGTCTAACACTTTGACTGTGTGATTCATGTGTGTACAGATTGTTATTACTTCCATTCTGCTCTCAGGATATTAGATAAACGACAGTATTTCTGATATTTATTTCCACTAAGCTGCAATTTATCCTTGTTGAAATGAGCAAGATTGCATCTTGGGCATTTGCTCATAACTGAGGTTTGCAGTGTTGCTCTGGCAAATACGTCAGTCGGACTGAGAAATCTCCAAACGGCATTTCTTATTCCGAGGCTGCATAGATTGGCCACAAATAGGGTTACTATGGAAACGGCAGACATGCAGCCCCTAAGCATTATGAATGTGTTAACCCTTTACAGGAGGAGAGCTCACTGCTTCAGTGGAGAAGCACTCTAAGCAGTAGTGCAGTGTGCGTTGCTAAGTTACGATTTTTTGATTTTTTTTTTTTATTATGCTTTGTGCCCATTCTGCATCGTTCCATAATCTAACTCTGAGTGATATACTACAAAGTAAAATGTTTTCCCAGTCTTGTGTTCTATCCTATGTTGTTATTTATAGTATCCATAAATACTATTTATTATTGTTTTTAATTACTTCTTCTTTAATCACACTGCAAGTCTGAGCACCCCAGTCAAATTACGTGTTTTATTGATTTTCTACGTAAAAAATAAGTACACAGCTGAATTACATATTCTTTATTAAATTTGACCTATTGGGGGGAAAAAACAACAAAGTGTGGCCTGTGCAAAAGTTAGGGTGCATTTTGTATTTTATTAATTATTTATTAATGTTTTTTTTTTCTTTAACATGTTAAACTCTCCAAGTAAATAGAAATTACGCACTAAAATTTGCAGAAAAGTGCCATATTTAAGCTTGTTTCCTGTAGAGAACTCATTTTCACTTAGAAAATCAACAGTCAATAATTTGAGCTGGGGCATCCAAACTTTTGCTTGCAACTGTACACTGTATATTAAACATCATCTCTCTCCAGGCTTGCTTTCTGTCATGGTGCTGCCAGAAGCTTGTCAATGCTACAGGAGCCTATGCTACTGATGTTGTGACTGTTGGATGCTTACACACTAGTCAGATGCTGGAATCACTTGTTATATTAAAAATTGCGTTATGTTATTCAGTTTTAACTTGCACAGTGTGGAATGGAACACTATTGCTTGACACTATAAGGTATATTGAGATGCTATATTCAGTATTTCATACTGAACTGTTATTACATGATAAATGATGTACTGGAATTAGTTATTTATTGTAATTTCTTGATAAGTCATCTGCCTGATATCACCGCATTTCAAACATGCATTCAGCATTCTAGATGTTAATTTTAGTATAACTTCATTTTCAGTGTTTTACAGGTCTATCAGTCATTATGGAATGAACTATTGCTTTAACCATCATTGTGGACACATCTCTCATTTCTCACAGCTTTTCTAATTACTTGGAAATTGTGGAGCTGTAGAGAAGTGACATTATATTAGACTTATTTCATTCATTTATCTGGAACTCTTTTCAATGCTATAGAGATTAATAGAGATTAATGTATAGAGATTTGCTGTCAAATCAACATTTTCTTCAGGTTTTAAGTTTTTTACACAATGTGAAAACATCATCTGCCATTGTGAGCATTCCATGATTAACAGAACCAACAGAATAGAAGTGGTTCAGAATGATCTGGAATAAAATCTTATCACATCACTGTGCATTAAGGAGTATATACATGCCCAGTGTACATTTGTCACCCTCTTATAAGGTTACCATTTTGGAGATTTTGTTAAAGCAGCAAAGAGATACATGTTGCCAGCATTGTTGGTGCACACGCGGTGGGATTTGTGTTCTTCCATGCCGGTTCAACATGTAGATTATGGATCACGCAACAGTGATCATACTTCCAGCTTCATGCCAAAAACAAGTCTGCAGTGTTGATAATGATCAAAATAGCATAAATATTTTGGGCTCAGCCTCCCTAATCAACTTCAGCTTGTTCTTTTCCTAGTCTGTGTATTTGTCTGACAGAGATGCGTGGCCTTTTGAAAGCAGAAGAAGGTAATTTGTTGTCTCAGTGCACTGCGTGGTGGAGCCTAGGGCTGTGTATAGTGTTTCCAGCTTATTTACTCTCATTTTGATGTGTCAGTCAACTGCCAAGAAAACAGAGTCACTTAATCACTGGCAACTGCATGTTTTCTTTCTCTAGGCCAAAAGTGGGAGCTGTCATTGTGCAGAGCCATGAGATGTTTCATATGTTTTTGTAGCCATCTTTTTTCCCTCTGTTTGGAGGGAAAGAGTGAAGCTACATATCTTCATAGGCCTTTAAAATAGGTTCCATGTTTTCTCGCATAATTGCTGTGGCACTATTGAGAAAGAACATCTTAGAAATGGCAGCAGTCAGTATCCTACAGAGCTCCGGTACTTCACCTTCCCATCACACATTTACAAGCTTTTTTATTTCTGTGTCTGAATGAGACTGGAAGGATTTAGGTGGGAAAATTGATGTCCAGCAGCGCAGTAACCACCTAATAAACAAAATTTAACTCAACATGAGTTTTGGAAGTGGGATGGCATCAATTCAAATAACCCATGAAGCATCCCTTTCTCTCTCTCCTCTGCATACATATGCTCTATGCTCTTTTTTCCTCCCTCCCTCTGTTTCTCTCTCAAGTACGTGCTTGCTAATGTGCTGACAGAAGGATAATCTTTCTTTGCTTCTATGTTTGTGAGTCTTGTGATAGTGACTACAATAAAAGCTCATGTGTAATTCTCTTTAAGCCTTGCTGAAGTGGAATGTGCTAATTTCCTCTCTCCTCTCCAGGTGTTCCCGGGTGATTGTGTATTCAGTCCTCCCTGCTCTCTGAAATATTTAAACTCTGCTTAATCTTTCACTGTAAAATATTGAAGAGGGAAGCAGCTTGAGCAATGGGCAAAATGTGGGCAAATGGGCAGAAATTTTTTGGCTTGGTCTCTAATAATGGAAACACACAGAAACAACATGATTGTGAAATTGATTGTGTTCTGAAATAAAGCCAGTGTTTGGTCTTGGTTTGCTTGTGTCTGCAAAGTGGCATGTGTGTGTGTGTGTGTGTGTGTGTGTGTGTGTGTGTGTGTGTGTGTGTTTTGAGAACTTCAAGTGGACCAAACATTTTCTTGATGGTAGAACATGCCAATTTTGTATAAGCGAAGACATTTTTGGCCCTCACAGTTGAACGTGCTGTGTTTACCATAAATGTAGCTTTTCTTGGAAAAACTAAAACAGCCAAAAGATTGTTTTTTGGTTACTGAAGTGAAGGTTATGTTTAGGTGTAGTTGTAGCATAACTGAGCTACAGCAATACAAACAATGGAAGTTGTCATAAATAAATTTTATGTCCAAAAGTTTGTACAAACCTGCTCATCCAACATTTCTTCTGGAATCAATAATAACACTGCAGTGCTGTTCCAGCAGTAACAGCCTCTTCTCTTCAGGGAAGACTTTACGCTAGTTTTTGGAACATTGCTGTGGGGATTTGATTGCATTCAGGCACAAGAGCATTAGTGAGGTTAGATACTGCATGGCGCTCGTTCACTCCAGAGATCACAGTTTCACTGCTCCAAAGTCCAAAGCTGGGGGCCTTTACACTCCTGTTGCTGATGTGTGGCGTTGCACATGGTGACGTTAGGTTTGGCTGTGTCCAGAGAGTGCCATTCTGTTAGCTTTTCTATGGAGATTATACAACCTGTGTGTGCCCGTTGGAACGCCTGTGTTAGCATTGTGTGCACCTGAAAGTAGCTGAATTCACTAATTAGAGAGGGTGTCTAAGTACTTTTGTACATGTAGTGTACATAGTAAAGATGTGTGTGTTTGTGTACTCTGATATATTCTATTTTTGGGGACCATATGTCTCCATAATGTGAAAATAAAATATGAACATTATGATACTAAAGTAACCGAATGATTTCCTTTCGGTTCTAAGGTAAAGGTATGATATGATATTAAAATTTAGTCAAAATTAAAAACACAGTGTGGTGCAAAAGTCAGAGACCTCCTTTATTTTTTTAATTTCCAGTCAAAACAGCCATAAAGTACAAATTATAGTTCTTTAATGATATGTTTTAGCACCATAATACTATGTATCTATGTATAGTATAGTTTTCTAAAGATATTTCTGAGTAAATTAGATATAAGATAATCCACTTGCGTAATAAAGGGAAAATTAATTTCAAGGGAAAATAGTTCAAACAACTTTTAAAAGATACAAAGAAATTGTGCCTCCTTACAAAACGGCCACCATCAGATAAACACTTAAGGCTTTCATCTTTGAGAGATTATCACTGAATGTGTTTGGGATTACTTGGATCGTGAAAGCGGAAAATGCAACCAGCTTCTAAGACTGAATTTTGGAGGTGTGAAAAATATTTTTGTTTGAAAAACTGAAAGCAAGTCTCTGGAAAAGAATGGATGCTGCAATAAAGGGGTGGACACACTAAATACTGAAATGTTTATATTATATTTAGTTTTTGAAGCTTCTACATATTTTTTTTTATTAAATATATTACATGCTTTTTTCTGAACTTGTACTTAGAATCTGTTTTGACTTAAAATTAAGTAAATGAGGGGTGGTCTCTGACTTTTGCACAATACTATACATCAGTGGAAAACCTCCACAAAGATATTACTACAAATGTGCACGTACATAATGCTTGTGCTCATTAGTTACTCTGTGTATGTCTGTGTTTGAAGCTGTGGACATGGATGGAGGACCTGCAGAAGGAGTTGTTGGAGGAGGTGTGCTCAGACTCTGTGGATTCTGTACAGGAGCTTATCAAACAGTTCCAACAGCAGCAGACGGCCACACTGGAGGCCACACTCAATGTTATTAAAGAGGGAGAGGACCTCATTCAGCAGCTCAGGTTAGCATTAACACTCCCGAGCTCTCACAGTCATGCACTCAAAACACACACACACACACACACACACACACACACACACACACACACACACACACACACACACACAAACACACACACTTACACACTAATATCATATCTCCCCTTTTTGCCACAGAGATTCAGCAATGAGCAGTAATAAGATGCCCCATAACAGCTCTATCGCTCACATTGAGAGTGTACTGCAGCAGCTGGATGAAGCTCAGGGTCAGATGGAAGAACTCTTCCACGAGAGGAAGATCAAATTGGATATCTTCTTGCAGTTGCGCATATTTGAGCAGTACACCATTGAGGTGAGGAGTGTCATTTTAAAACTGTATTTGTATTAGAAGACTACAGAAGACTACAAGAAGCTGGGCTTCAGGGTGGAGCTATGAGTGGTCAGAATGGTCGAAATAGGAAAATGCTTTAACAACATTAAAAAAATTGTGGCATTAATCATTTTACACACATTATTAACACATTACTGTTGACACCACTAAATATTTTATATAGTCAAATATTTAATAGATTCCAGTAGTTTTAGTTTGCCAGTGCTTTACTGACTGGTGTGATCGTCAGTTATCAGTTGAAAGATGTGATTGTTGGTTCTCAACTGTCACATTTCTTAAACTTAAACAGCAGAAACTCACATTGTCTTGAATAAAATAGAGAACACATACAAATAACCTTACAACTTAACCTTAAGGACATCAGACAAATTCTCACAAAGTTGAACTCTACAACAAGAGTTCCTTTAGTGCCTAATGCAGGTTTGGTTGTTGTTCCATATTCCATATAAAAGTCTTTTCCTATAGAACATTTAAAAACATCATTAGTGCTTCACTCTGCAAGATTTCCACTGAAGGCACTAAATCTGTGGAACCATAATATCAGTCAAACGATATATCAGTTCGACTCCATTTAGAAGTAGGGATTAAATGGGGTGTGTCTTTATGTTTCTATTTGGGGGAAACGCATCTTTGATGTGTAAAATCAGATAGTGTATGAGGCCTAGCCTGCTGACTTCTGGGAATTCTCTTCTGAGAAGTGTGCTGTGATGTGAATATTCTGTTTAAGGAGTATTTCTTACAGAACAATTCTGTGATCTGTGTTTCAAAATCTGAGAGTACCATATAAGACATCAAAGATGAAAAAGAGAAAGAAAGAATCTATCACCACCCTGTGGTTCAAAGACCAATCGAATATAATTTCTTCAGATTTTTGAAAGCACAGATGACACAACTTCAACAAGCTACAACTAGTTGCTTTATCTGTACTCTGTAGTGGATCAGAGCAGTTCGGCGTGGGATCGTATGGTGGGGGATCTGATTGAGTTTGTCCCATCCAATTCAAGCAGCATGAAAATGCTCAAATGATGTTACATCATGTAATATTGAGTATTAAGTCATGATCTGTCCTGTAACATGCAGGTCACTGCAGAGCTGGATGCCTGGAATGAGGACTTGATGCGACAAGTGAACGAGTTTAACGCGGAGGAGCCCAGTCTGGTGGAGCAGAGGCTACAGCGGCACGCTGAGAGAAAACTGGCCATGAACAACATGACCTATGAGGTCATCCAGCAGGGCCAGGACCTGCACCAGTACATAATGGAGGTCCAGGCTTCAGGTGAGAGGGACAGGGACCCGACAAGAAAGAGAGTGAGGTCAGAGGCAGATATGGGGAGGGTGATGGAAGGTTGGGTGGGTTGACAGAAAAATGAATTGTTAGATGTCACTCTAGCAACAAAAAACATGGGGCGCAAGTCTTCCTGGTGACTTGTAACCTGTGCTCATGTTCATGATCTAGATGAAGTATGTTCTGCTCAAGTGAATATTTTGCATATCAGTGGAGTTGTTGTTGTACTGCAACAGCAGCAAAATTAAATGTACATCTTATTCATATTACTATGAAGAGTGTGTTTGGCATGGTTTTTACTTCATATACATGTTTTTTGTGACTGCGAACAAACATGCACTCATAAGATTCTGCAGGTGTGGGTTTCCTTCCTTTCAATAGGCCTCTGAGGCTGTGTGTCATTTTGTAGTCGACAGTATTTGCTGGTTTTGCCAATTTGAAAATCAATGCTGTTTTAAAAAAATACTGCTATTAGTGCACATCTGTACATTTTCATTCAGATATTTTTTGAGTCCAAGTGCTCATGGAAATTGTAGTCAGTTCTTGATAGTCAGTTATTTGTAAGCCGTCGTCTGCTTAGCGTTGTCATGCGACACAGGTTAAGCTTTTCCAGATGTTTGTAAACAAAGGGCCTCACAATGTACAAAATGTCCAAATGTTGTTTAGCTTGATGCTGTAATGTTATACATGAAGCCAGCAATGATTTAAGATTTTGCTGTTTGCCTGCTGAAAAAATAAGTCTTCCCAAATGCATCTCTGGATTTAAAAGCTGAGGTACCCCCTTATGCCTTTGTCTTCTTGAGCCTTTATACTATCTTTATGCAGTTTTTAGAATAAGCTGATTAAATAAAAAATCACATTTTAAATAACATTAAGCCTTGCGTTTAGATAATACAGTACTACATTTCCCATTTTGAATTTATGACTCCAACTATACATGCATTACTGCTGGTGTGTGTTTCCTTGCGCAAAAGAGTGCTAATAATTCCCTTGTGGGAATCTGAATTATTCAGAACAAAAAGAATATGATCTGTACATTTCACAAAATGAGGAAAAAAATACAAACTTTCTACTTCTGTTTTTCACAGTAAAAATGACAGTTTGTTCCAATTATTGAGATGTGTACTTGTCAGTTTGTGCTACAACACATGCAACTTTGTAAATATCAGTGCTATATGCTCAGAATCTTTACGTAAAGCCCTGGGAAAAATGTACAGAGACAAAAGATATCAGCTTTTTGGTTTAGCACAGGCTGCGATATCAGTGATTTTCGAAAACACTGTTTATTTTCTCCATACACAAAACTCAGACCTCGTCTGGATGCTAATAGTTAACTACAAATTGATGTCTAATCATCAAAATATTAACTACTAGAGTGCTCATAACTCCCCCTTGTGGAGAATCTTCAGCCTGCTGAACATGAGTGAATGAATGTGAGTAATAAATGCGTTATAAGCCAAGTCTGTGAGGTTCTTCACATCTAAGAAAGTTACAATTTATGAGCAGTCAATCAGAAGTATGTGAAAGGCAGAGCTGGAAAAAAGAGAGGCAGAAGACACACAAAATGATGAAAGGGAGATAGGCAGTGTGTGGGTGAGTAATCCAGTGGGGAAGCTGATGTTCTAAGGGACTAGTCTCAGGCCTATCTCAACAGCTGTGCTCAGCTCCAGCTGGAGAAAGGTGAAGAATTAGGTTAAAGAAGCAAAACCTTCCCCATCTCCCTTCTCCATATTCCCTTCTTCTCTCTATCTTGATCCCAGCCTTCCTAACTCTCTATTGCACCCCCCACCCCACCCCTAGCATCCCCCCCACTGAATCCTCTTACCCTCTCTCTGCCTCAGCCTCTGTCTCTAAGAGATATTTTTAACATGGGAAACAGGCCTTTTCTCTCTAAATTGCTGACCCATCGCTCACCCCCCTCACTCCCACATATGGGCCTTGGCTCATGAGCCTTTCTCTGCCCTGGCTTTGGACAGCCACTCTGCCAAATCACACTGTGACAATCTCACACTCTCTCCTATAGGCGGGGCGTGTCCTAGCCTGTTCCACAGAGCACCTTGGGTCACTTCAGTTAAGTTCTGTGATTGGAATTCTGTATTTAATTTCAGTGCAGTATAGTCCAATTTCAGTGTCCCATTAATTCAATTATGATTTTGCACGTTTCAAAAGTGTTGATTTCTTGGTCTGGAATACTGGAACATCCATGGCCACAAAAGGCACGTGCTGTATTATCAAAAGATGTGCTCCTAGAAAATATGCTTTAATGTGTAAGAATGTAAATAACAAATTACCCACCATGAGGTTTTACTGTACTGACCTGAAGAGCAGCATTATTAAAGCACCATGCACTCCATAGAGAAAATAGATGTATACTGCCACCCAGTGGTTATGATTTCTTTGTGCATCTTTGCAAACAAGCACAGTGCTTCCACCACTGTTTGCTTATTTATCCTCATGTGAACTGATCCATATCCTACAGTCACTCTCTTCATCACATTACATTGCTGTACTTAACACCGGCGTGTTTGATATTTGTCTGCGTGTAGGTATTGAGTTAACTGGGGAGAAGGAAGTGGATTTGGCCACTCAAGTTCAGGAGCTGCTGGAGTTCCTTCATGAGAAGCAACATGAGCTGGATGTGAGCGCAGAGCAGACACAGAAACGACTAGAACAATGCCTCCAACTACGGCATCTACAGGCTGAGGTTAAACAGGTAACACATGCAAACACACCCATGCACATATGTGAGCAGAAAATTGTCACTGTCCAAAAATAAAAACAAGTATCTCCAAAATAGTAACAGAAGTAAATAGTAAAAGAAGGCAAAACATTCTTAACTTTCAATGCAAGTCAGTGTAAATACATTTTATTTCAAGTACTTTTTGAACATTTCTGTGCCTAAGCTCATAATGAAATTTCCACACAGCACTGGGTTCAAAAAAGATGGAGGTATATTTTTTTGGACAGCGACAATGTACAACTAGGGCTGCATTACAGAAACTCGTCGTAAGTTGCAATTTGACAAGCTCTTTGAGCAGATCCTATCTTAATTGAAGAATTATATCTTATAACGCCTTATCTCAAGTTCAGAAATGCTAATCTGCTCAACTGAGGTCAAAAATCAATTGTCATGTATGTTACCAAGCAACCGACAATGTGTGTACAGCTTAAATGTAAACACTTCATCAAAATAATGTAAACGAAACTGTAAGTTAGTTAGCCAAACAAAAAGGACAAAACAAAACTAAAGTGCGATGAATTGGAAGTTCATAAAAATTAACAATATTGTGACTGCTCCCCAGTAGCTTCCCAGTTTCAGCTTCCATTAACCAAGACTTATTTCCCCTGATTTACAGCCATGCATTTAACTTGGTCTCCTCATTTTTTACTTCCATCACTGCAATATTTTATTTTGCAGTTTTATCAACATTAACACATGTTGATAATGAGAGGGAATTGGATCAAAGGGGCTTTTGAACTGCAGAGCTAGGAAATAAAAAATCTCACAAGTTTAGCTGCTGTTTTACAGTATGAATAACTGTAACAGCATCTGCTAGTTCATGCTAGTGAGCTTGTTATACTCTCTGTCACAGCTGCCCAACAGATAATGGTAGGAACAGAAGCTTAAAACATTAGGAAGCTGAGACACCATTGGGCCTGTCCTGAAGTCAGGATTGTACTTAGGAAATTTGGGCAGATTGAATGCTTCTGTAATACTGTTTTTAGATTTAAATTAACTTTAGATCAGATAATTAACTTATTCTGTACAAGCTACTGTCCTAAATTCAGTCCTTATGGAAGTTGTCATGGTTACTAAACCGATATGATACGATTTTAGAGTTAGGATGTTTCTATAGCACCTGTTGTGTCTGTTGTTCAGACATAAAAGTAAATCCACACTCATGCATTCACACAACCCAGACTAGGCAGATACGTATCATCTGCTGTCATCGCAGAACATGTATACTGTATCTAAAGTGATACCGTAATGGTAGAAGTGTTCTTAATTATAATAATTAATGATAATAAAGATATTACAAATAATTTTGGATCATTTCTGTCACAAACATGATCTGTCTGTTTATTAAAAAATGTTCAGTATGATCCATGTGGTGTATGTTATCTAAATCCAAGTGGAGAGACTAGCAGTGCTGCAGAAAGCTCAGTGTTTTGAAGTAAATATGGTGTGAGCTTTGCAGTGAGCTATAAAGAGGTACAGTACAAGCTAGTTCTACTCCACTGTGTCCTCATTCTCAGTGCCTCTTCACTGAGTGAAAACACTGTTTGTTTTTAAAAATGTGGCCACATGAATAAAACATGCCATTCCTCCACTCCACTGGTGCTAACACTTTATCTCCCAGAGCAGCTCCGACTCTGCCGTACACTTTAGTAATCCAGGCCCACAGCGCTTAGCAATCTTTGTTTATCCTATATCTTAGAAAAACAGCATCTCAGCAAGGAAATCATAGAGTTGCAAAAGCATTGCAGAAGATCTGTAAATTATTGATGCTGTTCCTCTGCAGTGGTTTGAGATGTATAAACACTGCATAAACATTCTACTGACATACTCAACTCTGCTATTTCTCTCTCATGCACTGTAGGGCTAAGATACAGCTGCCTCCAGAACCCAGTAAAGCTTTCTAATGCACATTGACTCTACAGGCAAACAGTGGAGCTAGTGTGTGCCTCTTAAAATGAATCAGAAGAATGCAGCTGCAGCTCCTAATAGCTCCATATACAGGCTCTGCAACAGGGGACATTTTTCCACTTTTTAATAAAGTTTTAATAAAACATTGGTACCAGGTGCTTCATTTAAATGTAGTCACTGCAACAGTGAGAGAGCACTTTTAGCACCATCTACATAGCATGACATCAGCTGCATTAAAAAGTATACAGTATAGGTTTAGTAGTCTGTCTGCCATATTCAAGTGCAGGTTTTACACTTTATTGTACTTTACATACAGAATGAGTTGATGTATCAATATCATAGAGACCATTTAGATCATGTTCAACGTCTCCATGCAAAAGTAAAATACACCAAAATAAATCCATCTTCTGCTCTTGGAGTGCTATAGTACGTTTATACTGTCCCATATAGAGCCATTTCAGCTCTATCAGTTTCAGTGGTCCAGACTGAAGATCAATACAGAGTAATGCAGGCGCATGTTGATGGCCACTGCTGCTCTGGTGTCCATCTCTCCCCCTCCAGCTCTAATCTCATTCAGTACCTAATTAAGGGCCAAAGCGTGTCCCCAGACACAGGCATCAAGTGCTTCCACTTACATGAGTGCTAATGGAGAAAAATGGCTTGATAGCAAGATCACCAGAGAGAGAGAGAGAAGGAAGAAGGGAGAGACAAGAGACAGTTTTAGGAATTCTTCTTGGGTAGAGCCACCGTGGATTCGAGGGAAGCTTGATTTCACATGATTTTGTTCTAAAACCAACAAATAGTCCAGATTAGTGTAGCATGAAAAGGCTTAAATTCCCATGAAACAAAACAGTGTTACATATCGTTCAAGTTGTATAACAAACACTCAGGTCAGTAAGGGCATAGAGGAGCTGTATGCAGGGTGTATCTTTAGGTTCTGGCTCATGTGTGTACATGTGTGGTTTTGTGTTTAGGTGCTGGGATGGATCCGTAACGGTGAGTCCATGCTGAATGCCAGCATGGTGAATGCCAGCTCCCTGTCTGAGGCTGAGCAACTACAGAGAGAGCACGAACAGTTCCAGCTGGCTATAGAGGTACACACATGTGCACACACACTTAACACTATCCCCACCTACCGAACTCACCCAAATATACATACAGTAATCCTTGATAACGATATTTGAAGACTGCTGACATGAGGAGTCCGTAACACTTGCTACTGATACTTCAAAGTTTATAAAAATCTTATCCCAGTAATTGCAAGATGACTTGTGTTGCAAGATGACTTGCAAGATGATATATGTTACATGAAATAATTGATGTTGCATTAACATATGCATTAAACTAAAGTGACAGACATTTGTTCCATTTAAAACACTCTTTACTAAAAAAATATCGTTCTCCAGTAATAGAACTTATGATGCAGAGGCCTAGATAAGAAGTTATCAGTTCTGTATATTTCTTGAAGTAAAAGTACTTGTAAAAGTAAAAGTAATTGTGGCCATATGGCTAACAGCTTACTTTTTTTTTTGCATGTCCTCTGTAATAGAAATGGTTAATTAGAATAATATAACGTAACTGTAAAAACTCAATGTATTTGACTTTTATTACTTCAGTACATTTAAAAGTAAGTTATTTTCTGTTTTTGTATTCAATTTATTGGCAAACGTTTACCGCAGTAATATTTTTTCAAGGGTATCTTGTATTCAATTAGAAATGCAGATGCGGAAGTTTTACTACAATAATATTTTCCCAGGGCTATTAGTATTTTTTACTTATGTACAGGAAATTTGTGCAGGAATTTGTATGTATTCCTATATACATATGCTATGTGAAAATATGTATAAAAATGGTTACTTAAATTTGAGGGCATCAGAATCTTCCACAGAACTTATATGTGGTGTTCTGACCAAGGCAACTGCTTTGTAAGTTCCATTTTTTAGAAATTAAGCTTTAGATCAATGTTATAAATGTAACAGATTTCAAGTACTCTTATGTCAGTCGAGTGTCATTTACTTCACAAAAATTCTTATGTCATCTTGTGACTATTGGTGTAAGCAGTTTTTTAAGTATTCAACATTGCAATGTTATTCACTGTTTATGCATGTGTTATGAAGTCCCTATTTAGACAGCCTTCCAATAAAATCCCCCCTCCATACCCACAATCTCCAGCCCACTGTATGCCATAGCCTGAGACTATGTGTACACACACACACACGCACACACACACGCACACGCACACGCACACACACACACACACACACACACAGTCACTCTAAAAACACATGTATCTCAGAACAGCTCTGGAACCCATTTGAGCGGATGAACACAAAGCCCCTTTAAGAACCTATTAGCAACATTTTTATTGAATCAATGCACAGGAAGTAGCTGTAGCTGCTTTAATGCAATCAGTATTGTACCTCCCGCTCCCCAGGCCAGAAGCGATATGCATGTATTTACTCAGAAAAGCAGAAACACATCAGACTTCTGCCTCCTATGAGGAAGAGTTTAGAGTGAAGGCCTTTAGGGTAGGGCCCTTTATGGAAGAGATTACGCTGCGCTACGCCAAACGGATACAGGAGGAGCTGGTAATCCACATGGTGCTATAAAAGAGACAAGCATGACAACATTACTGATAGATTTACAATTTGTCTGCTTTTTGGAGTTGGCAATTCAGTTTTTTTTTTTTGGCATTAGTAAGCCAGGAGCTCTGTCTGCTCAAGTGCAAGTTTTAAGATGAACCTTCACAATTAAATACTATTCTGTATATTACACATGGATTTTGTTCATTCCTCTTGAAAAGTGTATTTTATCCACATAGCAAAGCACTGGATGCTTACATCATATAAATGTTATGCAGAGATTTATGTGTCCATATTTATTGTTGTTATTATTAGTGTAGAAATCTCTCATAATTGGGTGCTGGATGTGTGTCTGCACTCTTCCCCCTCCAGGCTGTGATGTTCATTTATCACTGTGGCTTTTGGCTCCAGCTTCACTGTGCTGTTGTTTTTTCCTGCTCTGGACTGAATTTTGCCTGTTCAGCTCTGCTTGTAAACATTCATACGGCCACTATTAAAGCTAGATTTATTCCCCGCTTCACGACAAGCACACCAGCAGACAAGGAGCGGGTAGTCTGCTGACCCTAGAAGGCCTAAATCTGTCATGCAGAGGGTTTGCACACACGATAGGAAGGAAAAGGGAGGCAGCAGGAGTTTGGATGATGTTGAGTAATAGCAGTACTGCTGAGAGCAATCCAGAGATTATTGCTTTTGGATTTCTTTCAATGAACTGGTGTTTGCTGTTCAACAAATTTGTTTTTTCTTGCTCCTGCTTGAAGAGCATTTCCTGCATAATGCAGTCATTGAGATGGAAACTCATTCAGAGTGTTTTGATGTGACATGATGTGTTGTAGAGAATTTACAGACAGATTTTTTTTACAGTTGTGGTAATAGGAACCAGAGGTTGTAATGCATACAGCACAAATATTGCCATTTTATTTTCTACCAAAAATGACCAGTGAACCTACACAAGTTTTATATTGAATATTGATCAAGATAAAGTTGTAGTAAATGATTTTCTTTTGGTGATATATAGCCTTAGAACACGCATATACCTCTCTGCCATGAATGTATTTTAAACACTTATAAGGCCATATGTTTAACTCCAAACTACTTTAAAACATTGTCTCAGGCATCCGGCAATTCATGTGTAACAGTTTCATCTAATGGCCATCTATGTAGCTTATGATCCATCTCGTTCCTATTGCCTCTACAATTTTGACTCTGTATTTTTCTGTAAAATGAGACATTTCACATATATCCACTCTTGTTTGCATCTTAACAATTTATTACATAGAAGTTTTGAAAATCAGTGGAATTCCCCTTCAGGATGTTTATATTACATTTATGTTATGTTATATAACTGTTTTGTAGTTTATTACAACTCATAACTGCTAATACTGTGTGCCCAAATTTGCCAGATAACTTTGTTGCCATATCAAAACTTTTATTTTTTTTTCTATTATAATTGTTTACACTATTTGGAAATTGCATTCACCTTTTACATTGAGTGACTATTGCATGACAAATGGACCAATAATTGGTCTAAAGTTAAAACAAAATCTCATTATGTTAACAAGAAGTTAGGATTATGTTTTTTTCATTGTCTGTAATAGAGCCATTTATAAGTATATGACCACAATAGAAACAGTGCATTAATTTTTTTTTTTCTATCTCTTCCCCTCTGTCTCCAGTCTCTGTTTCACGCTAACTCTCTGCAGAAGACCCATCAGAGTGCCCTGCAGGTCCAGCAGAAGGCAGAAGCTATGTTGCAGGCAGGTCATTATGACCCTGAAGCAATCCGCACCTGCGCTGAGAAGGTGGCCATGCACTGGCAGCAGCTCATGTTGAAGATGGAGGACCGCCTCAAACTGGTCAATGCATCTGTGGCCTTCTACAAAACTTCTGAACAGGTGAGACACAGCCAGCACTGCACCACCTGCTGGTAGCTGAGACCAGAGCTGAAGAGCTATGTCATAGTGGTATATGAACCCAAACCAGAGCAAACCACTAGAGGTGTAAAAATACATAGCTGCATCATGCAACATAAATCTGAAGATGATGGTTCAGCTGTGAATTATCATCAGTGTTAGGCTATGTTAAAACCTAAAAATCAAACAAACTAAAACAACTAATAAATACACAAACAACCTGAATTTATTGTTTATATTCCACTATTACGTAAGTAGGTTTTACAGTCACGTTTGTTCATTTAGTGTATTTTTATGAAAACAATTTTGAATTATACCAAAACAATCTGATCTAATTGTGGCCAATTTTGAGATTTTGCGATGCGCTGAATACTTCTGAAAGAAATTAACTGCACTGATCTAAGGTCAAAGATTTATGTCCCTTCAAAACAGCCAACAGAGGAACATTTGAGGAAAAGAAAAAGATGGTTGGCTATGTGAAATGAGATGGGTGGAAAGGTAATCTATTTGTGCATGAATGTCTGTGGGTGAGTTAATGTTATTGAGAGTATTACATTTTCAGGCATGCATAGTTATATTTGAGCATGTGTTTGTGTGTGTGTTTTGTAGGTGTGCAGTGTGTTGGAGAGTTTGGAGCAGGAGTATCGTAGAGATGAGGACTGGTGTGGAGGTCATGATAAGCTGGGTCCTGCAGCTGAAACTGACCACGTGTTTCCCCTCATCAGCAAACACCTGGAGCAGAAAGAGGCCTTCCTGAAGGTAAGACACCAGCGGGGGTGGAAAAAGTACAGAGAAAAGTAAGTACTCTGCCAAAAACTGCTCGATTAAAAGTGGAAGTGTGAAACAAAAAATTGAGTGAAAGTGGAAATAAATCAAACACTCTTAAACAGTAGGATATAAATGTTGCGTGCATACATAGAATGATGTCATAATAATTACATTGGCCTGTAGCAGAGAAGGCCACAAGTGTTGTGCGGTGACTACTGGGCAGAACCAGTTCTTGCACAAAGATTAATTATAGTTGTGGACACTTTCCTATTATGCTGATATGAATTTGTTTATGTTTTAATTAAAAACATAAATAAATAGAATGTATGGAAACTTAACTGTTTGGTAAAAGACAAACTTTTCTCTTGGAAACGTAATTGAGGAAAAGTACTAAGTTTCAATCTAAAGCACAAATCTTTCAAAAGTGTACTTAAGTGTAGTAATGAAGTACAGTCACTTAGGTATTTTGACCTCTGGACACCAGCCTGCTGGAGCGAGAGCAAATTTAAGAATAATCACTTTCCACATATCCACATATCCTTTGTAGTCGTTTGCAAAAGTCATATGCAGAAAAGATCCCTGGTCAATTGACATGTTTTGTTAATTTTTCAAGTGAAAATATTTTAACACGTCCTCTACAGCAAGGATGTCCACAAAATCCACAAAAGGCCGGTGTGGGTGCAGGTTTTCATTCCAAACAAGTAGAGCTCACCTGATTCCACTCGTTTATTCAGTCATTCGCTGTCTTCACCAGGGTATATTTTGTTTTTTTTTTCTATCTGAATTTACATGACCAAATCATAAGGCAAATTATTCAGTAACTGCATGAAATAAATGTAAATTTTTATTTTATTTATTTATTAATTTTTTTGTAAAAGCTCCCCTCAAATTAACAGAACATGTGTTTTGTGATCATACACATATTGCTATATGCTTACAGTTTATTGCTGAAAGCCAAATATCTTAGATGCTCTTTGTATTATTTTATAAAAATAATTTTTACAGAGCAGATCACTGAAGAGATGCCATCTGTTTATGGTTTATAGCCCAGATTTGTGGAAAAATGGGTCAACTTTCAGTAGACAAAAAAAAAATTGTGAGTTCAGCTTTTATTGTAAGGGTTTAAAATTACAATACCTATCTATTTGGCTGAAAAGAAGACAGCTCTCACATGACACCCACCTTTTGAATGTAGCTTATGAAATATGAAAGTTATGAAGAATATGACGAAGTACGTTTTGAAACCACTGGTGGTCTCAAGGAGTTGAAAAGGTTAAACAACTGATCATGCGTGCTCTGCTTTGTTGCAATGAAAACCTGCAGCCACATTGGCCCTAAGATTGGACACCCTTGCTCTACAGGGAACTTATACATGAAAATAAAATATGTTATAACGTGCCATAATGGTGCATAGAACACATTCTCTATTTAATTTTTTCCCCAATATGTTAAAATCAGCAAATAAAAGTAATTGTGTATTAAAATTTTCAGAAGCTGTGTTCCCTGTAGACGATGTGTTAACTTTTTATTTAGAAAAGCAACACAACTTCATTTGATCAGGGGTACCCAAACTTTTGCATATGACTGTAAGTTTAATGTGTGACATCACAGTATAAAAAACAGTCTGTTATCAGTTTTACTGACTAATTCTCTGCCAACCCACCAGTATGCTTAAGAACAAGTTGAATAGGCAGTGAAAGAGAATGATTTATATAGCTCCATATCCTCTGTCTGGGAGCTGATTGGAATAACTTTATACAGAAATGAAGTGGAAGTATGTTTTCTTTTTCAGCTGTGATCTCTGTGATCTGTGTTTCAGGCCTGCACTTTAGCCAGACGTAACGCTGAAGTTTTCCTCAAGTACATCCACCGCAACAATGTCAGCACCCCCACCTCCTCTGGAAACACCCGCAGCCCTGAGCAACAGGTCAAAGGTCAGTCTACACAGTCTACTCCACTTTGCGAAAGATCAGATACAACGATGTTTGTACTGCAGCCACACTGGAAAGGGATGCATTGAATTTACTTAAGTCTAGTGAGTACATGTATGTCCACATGCGAACTTAGAACAGTATGATCTTGTCTTTCACTTTACTTACACTTGGTGATAATTATGTTGATATATTTTATTCATGTGCATGATTTGCACATTTGAATCAAGTAAATTCAATGCATCACTTATTTTCAGTATGTGTGCTTGGCAAATTAAGTGACTCGTTTCCTAATATAGCTAAAGACATGCACCGATATTCAAAAAAAAAATGTATACCTCAGTTTTTAGCACATGCGATATGCAGAGTAGCTCTGGTTTCACAAGCTCCCACTATGCTGTCACGTTGTGATCCCATGCTTTCCTTGATGTTTGTACAGCTGTACAGGCGCTTTCACGCCTACTTTTCCTGGTGCAAACCTTTTCTTTAATTAGACTTGTTTTGACAAATGTGAACACTCCACCCGTACTTGGGTCTGCACCAAGAAATTAACCATAGTCCGGCAAAAATCAGGGGGCTTGGTCCTCTTCCAAGAGAACCCTGGTTCAGTTAGCTGCTGGTGGAAATGCATTTTTATGATGGTCTGCACCAAACGAGGAAATTTAACGTCAGAGCATGCTAGATCTAGTTTCATTTGGTTACATGTATTGCGGTACATGGTCAGGCATCAGCCACCTCTTTGGTTCAAATTAAAATTGAAAAACCGATCATAAAGATGCAGATATCAAATAGTAATCATAATAATTGCTTTGAAAGTGATACACATAGATATTAAGAGTCTCTATTTTCTATGTTTCTGTTTTCATGGTGACAAATGCAAAAGTATCAGTGTACCTACATCCCTGGAAAATTCCTGACCAATCTAAGAACACCTACAAGCATAATTTGCTGCACTTTAGCTTATAGTGTGAAACCAGCTGAACCAAATGAAGCATATATCCCAAAAATGGCACAAAAACCCAAACTCTGGTGCAGACTTTGGCAAACTACCTAGGTGTGAAAACAGCTTTAGTGTGTTATCGGTCTGAGCACCTGCATAGCTGACAGTAAAAAACACAGTGCTCTTCTTTCTTAACATATTAGCAAGATCACAGAGAGTATACCACCAGCTCCTCCTCCCTAAATAAATAAATAAATAAATCTATCTATGGGAAACCAAAGACATAATACCCATTAGGACCATGCAAAAACAACCAGAGTCCAGAAATGAATGACAACTGCTGTGATGTTATACAACATGCCATTGGGAAAGTTTGTTTATTCATTTATTTATTTTACAAAAAGACATTCAGAACACTACATGCAGACACATGTATTACCTTATACATCTAGTGTTTTATTGTTATTATATTGTGATAATATTGTAAACCATGTTATTAAATTTTGTGTTGTTTTCTCCTGTAGCTATCCTCAATGAACTGTTGCAGAGGGAGAACAGAGTTCTGCACTTTTGGACAATGAAGAAGCGCAGACTGGATCAGTGCCAGCAGTATGTTGTGTTTGAACGCAGTGCCAAACAGGTAAGATTCAACTGCACTGAACACCCCGCTCAGCTGCATTGAACATACCCCACTCAACTGCACTGAAAATACCACACTCAACTGCACTGAACATACCCCACTCAGCTGCACTGAACATACCCCACTCAGCTGCACTGAACATATACCACTCAACAACACTGAACATATCCCACTCAACAACACTGAACATACCCCACTCAACTGCACTGAACATACCCAACACCTGCACTGAACATACCCCACTCAACAACACTGAACATATCCCACTCAACTGCACTGAACATACCCCACTCAGCTGCACTGAACATATCCCACACCTGCACTGAACATATCCCACTCAACAACACTGAACATATCCCACTCAACTGCACTGAACATATCCCACTCAACTGTACTGAACATATTCCACACCTGCACTAAACATATCCCGCTCAACTGCACTGAACATATCCCGCTCAACTGCACTGAACATATCCCGTTCACCTGTGCTGAACATACCCCACTTAACTGCACTGAACATATCCCGCTCAACTGCACTGAACATATCCCGCTCAACTGCACTGAACATATCCCGTTCACCTGTGCTGAACATACCCCACTTAACTGCACTGAACATACCCCACTCAACTGCACTGAACATACCCCACTCACCTGCACTGAACATACTCCACACCTGCACTGAACATACCCCACTCAACTGCACTGAACATACTCCACAGCTGCACTGAACAAACCCCACTCACGTGCACTGAACATACTCCACACCTGCACTGAACATACCCCACTCACCTGTACTGAACATACTCCACACCTGCACTGAACATACCCCACTCACCTGTACTGAACAATGACCAACACATCTGCCCTGAACAGTAACCAACCCACCTGAACTGAATGTATTTCACACAGCACTGAACATAAACAACACATGCACTTAATGTGCTCCGCTCATCTCCACTGAATGTACTTAACACATCTCTGAACATCTATTGTGAACACATCTGTAACACATCTGTAATGAATATGAATACACGCCAGATATCTGTGTTGAAGCTCCTCGCTCATACAACTTTTCTCCCCCTCTCTGTCAGGCATTAGAGTGGATTCAGGAGGCAGGGGAGTATTTCCTGTCCACTCACAACTCTGCTGGAGACTCAGCTGAGAAAACCCAACAGCTCCTGAAAGAGTATGAGGAATTCTGCATCTCTGCCAGGGTAGGGAGCACTCACACCCATAGCCATGCTGAGCCCGAACCTCTCTCCTCTCTCTCTCTTTCTCTGTCTGTGGGAATGTCCAGTAGCACAGAGCTAGAAGCACTTAATGTTCTTACCTACTACTGTCTCGCTCAGCAAATGAAGCTTTTACATCTGTCCTGCTGTTTGTCAATGATGACATAAAGACTGCAGTCTGCAGCTGATTAAAACGAACCATCACAATCTTACAAACACAAACAACTACATAAACACTGAAACAAACAAAAATACACATTCTCTGCCACACTTGCCTTAAAATAAATTTGAAATAAAGGCTTCTACTTTTTCAAATACATCCTCCCGTTTGAAAACCTAGACACACAGACATATACAACCACCCCCGCACACACAAACAGGCTTACAATTCATATAGTCTTTGTCAAACTAAGAACACCCTCACACTGAATTACTTAGGCCAACTACCACATGTCCTGTCTCCCAGCAAACCAAGGAAAAGGTGAAGCTGCTGATTCAGCTGGCTGATAATTTTGTGGAGAAAGGCCATGTTCACGTGACTGAGCTGAAGAAATGGGTGAGCACTGTGGACAAGCGCTACCGAGACTTCTCTCTGCGCATGGGCCAGTACCGCTGCAGCCTAAACAACGCCCTGGGCATCAGTTCTGAGGTAAGTCAGCACCAGCTCATAACACTGCACATCTAGAACCTAAGCGCAGTCTATAGAACACGCTCGGTATTTCAGCTCAGGTAGTGACCAGCCTACATTGTAAACCAGACAATAACTACCTAAACAACCATTGTAACTTTAATGAAAAATAATACATTTTATTTATGTAGAATTGTATGTTTTGCAGGGAGATACAGAGGAAACAAAGTACAGAGGAAATATAAAGGGTGAAATATGAATACAATAAAATGCAGTTTGAGAGGAAAGGGAAAAATGATAAATGAACGACAGTAAAATTTAACTAAAAAAGTAAAATGAACTATTGGAAGGAGCTAATTCTGTTTAGAAGTCAAACAGATGTCTAGGTTTTAAGATACCTTCAAAGTGGCAAGAGTGTAAGATCCTGTTTACACCTTGCACTAACATGCATTTTTTGGTGATCAGATCACATTTGGATTTCAACTGACTGCACGAAAAGCCAGATGTAAACATACCCAGGATGCTTTGTGAGTGGATTACAATCAGATCACTTAAACCACATTTGGAGGTCGTCAGAGACGGATCTTGACTACATATAACACAAGTGTAAACAGACCAAGACCAAGAGCCTTCTCTCATAATGAAAAGATTTAAGTCCAGCTTGTCAACTTGTATCGCACTGGGAAAAATGTCAAATTGGATGTCATCTGGTCACACTTAGTATTTTAGTAAAAAGTGTAAATGGAATCCTGCTAAGGTTTATCCAGTATATATGACTTCTGCCTTTCACTGGATTTTCAACATCTTTTCCATAGGCAATAGCTAAAATGAGAACATAATGAAAGTCCGCAGAACAATACAGCAGAACCCAATGGTTTCAACAATTAAAGTCATTTAAAGCTTTATTACATCAACCCATGCAGACTCAGACAACCCTGACTGCTCTGAAGAAGAGCCTCTTAACCTGCTTATTCTAGAACATCTCCGTTAAGACTGTCTGTATACCCCTGAAACCAGGAAGCACAGGTCAAAAAACCCTAAGTCAAACAAATCACAATACAGTGGGAGGTATTAACCTTGTACTCAGACAAGGAAATGCCAATGGTCATTTTAAGCCAGCTCATTAGCCCTTCTCTAATCACAGCACTTTTTGGAGTGCTACCTGAAGTGTTTGTGTTTTTTTGTAGTGTCACTGGTTGCTAGACGCTTAGTTTTACTGAATTGAAAAAGCATAGGAGATTCTATTCTTTATCATAGTTCCTTATAAATTATATGTTGATTTTCTCTTTTTTGTGATATTATAGTAATTTATTTCTCTTCTCTTGTCTTTGATCATACAGAACAGTAATATAATTTCTGATACCCGCTTAAGTGGATTGCAATTGCTTTTGGCTTGTCTATCTCATCTATTCAATTCTCTCAGTTATATAAATTTCAAAATGTCACCATTAAACAAAACATTGAGAAAAACGAGAAAGGTCAGTGATCACGTCATCGTCTTATCAAGCTTGTTTGTAGAAGTTCTGAAAAAGTTTGTGAATGTGTATATTTCTGTCACTTAGGATAATAAGGACTTGGAGTTGGATATTATTCCAGCCAGCCTGACTGACCCAGAGGTGAAACTTCGTGACCCCAACCACGAGGTCAACGAGGAGAAGAGGAAGTCAGCCAGGAAGAAAGAGTGAGTGAACACAGCTTTCACTGCACACTGGATCAAATTAATCTACTCACTGTTGTTTTTAAAGGTAAAAAATAAGAGCATAACCTACTGTGAATAGTACGAACTATTTTTAGTTTTTGTGGTACTATACTATGTACTTTAAATTGCACTATATGGTTGCTAAAGCTAAGTCTTCATAGCATGGTGCTCTGCTAACACCCTGTATGTTTGTATTTTGTATAGATTTATTATGGCAGAGTTGCTGCAGACTGAAAAAGCCTATGTCAGAGATCTTCATGAGTGTTTAGAGGTAAGCAGAAGTGTGTTTTCTATGACAGCACTTCTAAATTATGCAAGTGGACAAAAGTACTACAGATAAACAATAATTTTGCATAATGTACATTGTACCAATGTGCTGGAGGCACAGCTTTTCTTTCTCCTATACACAAGAAGCCACAGCAGATACACAGAACCCTAAAGAAAAAAGTCACCATATGTAATTTGTCCTGATTTCAGTTGTGTTGTATAATGTTGTGGTGATTACTGCAGACAGTTATTTCCTGTGTCTGCTGTCTTTGTATGTGTGTAGACATACCTGTGGGAGATGACCAGTGGTGTGGAGGAGATCCCGCCAGGGATCGCTAATAAAGAACATGTCATCTTTGGAAACATCCAGGAGATTTATGACTTCCACAATAAGTAAGGAGCTGTCTAAAAACACTGTTTAAGAATGTTAAATCTATTTTTTTGTAAGCAAACACACACTGCTTTGGTAAAACAGACTTTTATTCTCATTTTGTTAAAGGATGAAATATGTGGGGGTTTCATTTCCTTTTAAATGAAGCTTGAAATATGGAAATATATGCAAATGTTATGTTGATTATTATCCTCATGTGATATGCGAGTGAATTTGGACTGTGATTAAGCATTGTTTGTATCTTGTTGCCTTATTTAGCATCTTCTTAAAAGAGCTGATAAATTATGAGCAGTTACCAGAGGATGTGGGCCATTGTTTTGTCACATGGGTAAGTGGCATGCAATTAATACCTTGATTTAGTATCAAGCCTTTTAGAATAACTGTGCTAATATTGCATTAGTTTTTGTATATTATATTCTTATTAAGAAGATGGCTACAGCGGAGCTGATTACATATCAGATACTTTACAATTTATATATGTACCCTGATCTGATAATGTTGATGTAAATATAATGTAAATGATGTTTTACCTTCTACCTTATAAAAGTTAAGATCTTAAGAAGATTTAATATACATTTCATGTTATGTTTTCCAGGCGGATAAATTCCAAATCTATGTGACGTACTGTAAAAACAAGCCGGACTCTAGCCAGCTAATCCTGGAGCATGCTGGGAGCTTTTTTGACGTAAGAGCAATGCTGTTCCCTTCTTCTCATGTGTTTAGCTTTTTATTTCACTACTTTATCTCCTTACGTACAAGCTTCTTTAATTATATTTCCATTCAGGAATCACTATAGCAGACCTGTTTTTAGTACTGAAACAGCAGTCAGAAAAAAATACCAGACTCTGCACTGGTAATGGGGCGTCTGACGGTGTTTCACAATTCTTAATTGAGGGTTGAAGCAACTGTTTGCCACAAACAGTCTGCCCTAACCAATAGGTGGCACCAGCTAGCCATTCAAGCTGAATTATACGATGCTGCAATATTTACCCACTTTCTACTTGCTCAGCAGTAAACAGTAATAAAAGGAAGACCAGGAGCGAGTGTGCTGTGCATGAGCTTTCGGTTCTTGTGTGAGTTTTGAATGCTAAATGCTGAATATGCTCCCATGCAGGAAATTCAGCAGAGGCACGGCCTGGCAAACTCCATCTCCTCCTACCTTATCAAACCCGTCCAGAGGATCACCAAGTACCAGCTCCTCCTCAAGGTGCTTGGTTTGTGTGTGTGTTGTTGATGGAGGGAAGACGAGATCATCAGCAGACATCAGAGAGAATCTTAAGAGTGCTGATTAGCCCATTACCTCCAGGGAAAAGCTTCAGCATCAAAGCCTTTTACTGCACACTTTCTTTCTCTTCCCCCCACCCCTTCCTCACTCTCTCTCCTTCTCTATTGCTCTCTCTCCCTCTCTCTCTGTTTACTGTCTGTGGAAATAACAGAGCTTTAATGAACTCCCTGGAGACTCTTTCTCTCTTTCCTACTGAAGGCACTTCACTCATACCAATTTGTCCTGTGCAGAAATCTCTGATTCTCATTTCCCCCTGGCCAAAAGCCACATCAGACATCTCCAACTCTCTCCTCTTTTGCTCATTTTTGTATACACTGCATATGTGTTCACTGTATTAAAAGCACCTAAACATCATCTTTGTAGTATTGCTAAATTTAGTATTGCTAAAGTTTTGCAAAAAGTTGTGTATGTAGCAGTTCTGTATTCGATCTAACAAAAAATGAACAGTTTGCTGCTGCTGAAATGCAGTTTTATGGTGGTTTGAGAACTTCTTCTTTCCCCTCTGGGCCCTCAGGAGCTACTGAGCTGTTGTGAAGAGGGCAAAGGTGAGATAAAGGATGGGCTGGAGGTGATGCTGGGTGTGCCGAAGAGAGCTAACGATGCCATGCATCTCAGCATGCTAGAGGGTACGTCACACAGTACTGACGGCTTTATACAGACAAAGCTCACAGGACAGTTATAATCATGATAGAAGCCAAATCCACTAATGTATCGTAGTTTCATCATAGAGAAGCACATTTCAGTTGTCGACATGTCCACAGGTTTGTAAACGCCTGCTCCTACTGATGTAACAGCCTCTACTCTTCTGGAAAGGCTTTATTAGATATTAGAACATTTGATTGTATTCAGCCACAAGAGCACTAGTAAGGATCAGGTACTGATGAGGGATGATTAGTTCTGGATCACAAACACCACTCCAGCTCATCTTAAAGATATTGGAGAATACAGTTCTACTGCTCTACAGCCCAATGTTGGGGAGCTTTGTACCCCTCTAGTTGTTGCTTGGCATTGGACGTGGTGACCTTAGACTCATGCAGCTGCTTTTCTGTGGAGGTTATATAAGCTATGTGTGCAACTAAAGGTCTGTTTTAGCAATAGATGCAATTGGTGTTTGGATACTTTTGGGAATATAGTGTAGCAGATAGTTCAGTTTCTTCAACATGTTTAATCTGCTTTGGTGTTTTCCTAAAATTGCACTATACCTCTCCATAGAACTGTTGACTATGTCTGTTTTGATATCTTGTGTGACTTTTGACCCCTGACTCTTGGCTTTGGTGTAGGTTTTGATGAGAATCTGGATGTGCAGGGAGAGCTGATCCTGCAGGATACATTCCAGGTGTGGGACCCCAAATCTCTGATCCGGAAGGGTCGGGACCGCCACCTTTTCCTCTTCGAAATCTCCCTTGTTTTCAGCAAGGAGATCAAGGACTCGGCTGGACGCACCAAATATGTCTACAAGAACAAACTACTGGTACACTGCCATGTGTATTCTTCTAAGGAAGATATGAATTAAAATCTAAATTATAAATCAGTTGGCTCATCAATTTAGCAGTAAACATGTGACATTTATGAAAACACAAACATGTAACACAAACACCCATCCATGAGAGTGTAGAGACAAGAAAGGCAGGTGTGTGTGTGTGTGTGTGTGCAGAGATGCAGAGCAGATGGAGTGGATTTAGTCTTTCTCTTCTATGTTAAATGTGAATGAATGTGCACCTGCTCAGTGCCACCTGCGTCTGTAGCATGAGAGGTCCTTAGGCACAGCATTTGCAGCGCACTTTAATGAGGGAACGTTTAATAGCAGATGTTTGTGTTGCAGCCAAGACATTACAGATACTGCATGTCCATTGAATTGATTTAAAAAATGTATTTATTTTAGTTTGTATATGTTCTTCCTCTGAGATGTAGATTATGAAGAGTGGATGGTTAATATGATGGTCTTTTCTCTGTCTAAAGAACTCTGTTGATTTAGTGATAAGCTGTTCTGAATCACTTGTGTCTCCGCTTTTGTTTTCAGACGTCTGAGTTGGGGGTGACAGAGCACATAGAGGGGGACCCCTGTAAATTTGCACTGTGGGCAGGACGCACGCCCTCATCCGACAACAAAACCGTCCTCAAGGTGCATTTATCTCTGTATCTGTGCTTTAACATGAGTGTAGGTGTAGTCAGACTTTAAACCTCCCAGTTCAATGATACAATAAAACAGAACACAATTTGAGAACATTGTAGGTTTTCTGGTTTGCCAACTTTGTGCACATCTGTATCTGCATTATTAGTGACTATGACACTAGGATAACAGGCAAAAGCTTTTTTTTTTTTCCACTTTAACTGAATTAATTCCACAGGCATCTAGCATTGAGGTGAAGCAGGAGTGGATAAAGAACATTCGGGAGGTGATTCAGGAAAGGATCATTCACCTGAAGGGGGCACTGAAGGAGCCCATCCCCATCCCCAAAACCCCAGCTAAGCCACGTAATAACAGCAAGAGGTTAGATTCCACACAGATGCACATTCACTTTTTAAAGTAAGTTCTATTTATAATTCCATATTAAAACATCTAAAGTCCACTTAAAGCATGAATGCACCACACAGTTACCTTCAATAGAGACAGCGGGTATTTGTCCTCTGTTTAGATACAATTTCAAGTATATTATGTTGCTGTATTATGATCTTACATCTGGTTTCAGATAGTTTGGTTGATATACCAGTACCAAAAGTTCAGTTTACAAAATAGCACACTGTATAAAGAAAGCTGTCCATACATAACAACTATGCATAATGCATTGAAGGCTTTCTCTAATCTGCCCCTAAATGGATTTGCCCTGGAAATATAGGCAGTTTTTGCTTTTAGGGACAGTGTGTAAGATTGTCTTGGTGTCAGGTAATGTATGTGATGTTCAGCTTTGTTGCCAAGGAGCACCTTACTGATACTCTGTGATATGTCACCAGAGCACACAGATAAGTCCCCTGAGCACACCAATAACACTCTCTTTCGCATGGAAGTTTGGTTGATTATTTTTGGTTGCTTACATTATATGTTTTATATTTTAATTTATAGTCAATGCAATCAACCAGTATAAATCTTTAACATCTTAAATATTCCATACATCATTGTTGATTGATATTTATATTTATTTATTTATTTATTTTAAACCCTTCATTTTTCTCTGTATGTGCCTATGTGCCTTGAGGCTACTACTGCTCATTATTTGTGTGTAAAGCCACAGCCATGCAAGGTTCTTTTGAAGCAGCTGGTGTATATGGTTGTATGTAAACTATGCTTGTTTTGTAAGTATTTATTTTGTGTGTGTGTGTGTGTGTGTGTGTGTGTGTGTGCAGGGACACTGGAGAGGATGCTGACAGTCAGGGAGATGGTAGCAGTCAGCCAGACACCATCTCCATCGCCTCACGAACCTCACAGAACACTGTAGACAGTGACAAGGTAGAAACTGTATTTCTCTCTATTTGTCTCCTGGAGCCTACAGTCATTCAGCTTGCACTGCAGCCATGGCTTAACACAATGTTGTAGTGGTAAAAAATCGAATTTACACTTTTCTGCCAAGACACATTTGGTGGAGTTTGCTTCTGTAGGTTTGCACTACAAAAAAAATGCCAAAGATATGGACTAAATTCAGGTTCCAAGTTGTTTGCCGCTACTGTTTTAGCTGTGTGCTCAAGTGAAATAATATTTCATGCAGTGTCAGAAATCACATAAGCAAGACTGTTTGAGATTACTTAACTACTCAGTGCAGTTTGAGGCAAACACCAGTGCAAAACTAAAGAAGCAAACACTGGACACCAAGCATGTCTTGACTGATCACCTACACTTAGAGTAAAGGGAAGAATATGTAAATAAGATTTTTTTGCCTTCAACAGCCAAACTGTTGAAGATTTGGTTCCACAAAACATGCTGCTGACCCCGCCCCCTAAGGGAAATGTGACTTTTGATTGACAGGCTGAAACAGGGTTTCCCACCCTTTTCTTATGTGCTGAGCAGGGACAGTGTCATGGCTGTGTAGGGAAGGCAGTCATGGTGGCACTTTGTGTTTAGGGTGTCAGGTAATCATGTGAAGTTATGAAAAGCCTGTTCCGGTTGTGTGCTGGTCTGTGTCATCATAGGAACTATGGGGGGCCTTATGAAATCAAAGTAAGCTACATTTTACACTGCTTCCTGATGAACAGACATTGTTCGTCTGTGTTTGATATTTGTGGTATTTACATGAGGATGTTCTGTGTGTGTTTTTGTTTATGGCTTGTCTCTGTGAGATGAGTGTGTCCTTGTGACTTGTTCTTGCCCAGAGCAAAGTGGCTTCCTGCTGCAGCTGGAATTCTCAATGCTGAGTGTGGCTCATCTGTGTTTTCATGTTGCTGTTTTGCTCTGTGGTCTACTGTGTTGGCGAAATGTCATGTCAGTAAAGCAAATCTGCTTCTGCAGGAGAAAAATATATAAAATGTATAAATACATATATAAATGCACAAACAGAATAGCTTCTTGTAAAGGTGTAGCGATAAACAAAATTTTAAATTATATTTGATATGCTTTGGTGGTGTCTCAATACAATACATTTTCATACAGCAAAAATAAGGAGTGCTTTAAAATGTGCTATTGCTCATAACATACTTGTTTCCCAAAAATGGTAACTTTATAGAATTAGGAAAAAACTTTTTTACTTTATGATGGAAGTCAAAATAATAAGATTGTTTCTAATAACTTTGGAGCATTTCTATTGGTCCATTCATCATGAAATTTCACATTGGATTTGGTAGCTGCTGTGATGGTCTGGGACCTGTCCAGGTTGTTTCCTGCCTTCCGCCCACACTGGGATAGGCTCCAGCACCCTCTGTGACCCAGAAGAATAAGCGGCTTAGATAGTGTGTGTGTGTGTGTGTGTGTGTGTGTGTGTGTGTGTGTGTGTATGTGTGTGTATATATATATGTATGTGTATATGTATGTGTATGTCTATGTGTATGTGTGTGTGTGTCTGTGTGTGTATGTATGTGTGTGTGTGTACTGGGTAGCTGGCATTTTCAAATGCTGTAAATAAGTAAAAAATGGAGATACAGTGTGTTCCCACAATGATGATACGTTAATGCGTGCACCATGTGCACAACTTACATGCATGCGCACTAGGAGCATAATGATGCATATATTTTCAGGTTCAACATAATTTTTAATTCTGAGATAAAATATGTTTTAAAACAAATTGTATGTCAAAAATATTCTACAGAGCTCTGATTATATATTGATACAAATATGTTCAACTCAGATAAATAAAAGTTCTCCAAAATAACTTTTTCAATACTTGTTGTTCCCACTCTTAAACAAAACAAGCCCCCAAAATGACAACGGCTAGAATTTATCATTGATTTGTAAAAAGCCAGTCATTGGAGCATGCATAACTTAAGCCCCTCCCACTCATTGCCTCTTTACTCTGATAGGTGGCACCCAGATGCCTCATTCACAGTGGTTTGCATGAAAGATGACAGCATGAGACACCAAGGGACATTTCAGTGATTTTTAAATTTCTATGCACTGCCTCAAATTAGATTTTTCGATATTTCGAAAAAGAGAATTTCCCCATTGTGGGACTAATAAAGGATTATCTTATCTTATCTTATCTTATTTTTTTGCAGACCTGACAACAGAGGCTATCATGCAGGGCATTCTGCTAGAGTTGTAACGAGACATGGCACATAGAAGCTCTGATTATCAGCAAATACCAAGACTTATATATTTTTTTATTTAAAAACTACTAAGTTTTAAAATGAGCTATTTTTAAGGCATTGACTGCTTATATCTGCCCAATACCAATAAATGATATTGGATTGATGCCATCTCTAAGTAAAACACACTCATCATTGTGTGTATGTGAGAAGGTTAGTGAGAGGGAAAGTAGGAGTAATTTATTCCCTCACACACCATGTGTGTGGGTGTATTTTTTTTTTTTGCTGTGCCCTCCAGACGAGCTTGTGGGTAGCTGTTGTTTTCTGTCCTGAAGAGGGTTGTAATGATTCTGCTGAAAAGGTCCTTCATTCGCCTGAAAACCTGAATGCACTTTACGATCTACAACTGGTTGCTAATGCAGTTGTATGTTTTTTCTATAGTGTCATGTGCCAGCTTTACATTTTCTCTATTACATTAGTGGTGATGCTGATTCACTCTGTGAGCCAGTTAGTGATGAATGAATGTTCATGTATGTTGCTATAGAGAGACAGAGGTAACAAAGAGCCTTTTGTTGAGACCTAATTTTAGTTAATGCAGTGCATCCTTTGGATAAACACACAGACAAGACAGCACAGAGTTTTTATGACATATATTCCACAAGATAAACTCAAAACAAGGCACAATGAAAACAGAACAAAACTGCAGAGTTGTTAAAGTCACTGTAAGACTGTGTGACTATTTCTGACAGCTTGTTGTTATTTTACGAGCTTGGCCGCGTCAATTGTTCCGTGGTGGGTGCTTGTGCTCTTCTGAGCTTGTAAATAATTATTTTGTGAGACCAGTGCAGACTTTTTCAGACCACTCAGATGCCCACCCTACTCCAAGACAATGCCTCAACTCACTGTCTCTCCATATATTGCTCTGTTTTTGTCTTTTTGTTTGTCTCTGGCTCTTACCCTCTATTTTCCTCTGTCTGTGTCTTGATTGTGGGGGTACACATGCTCTAACTTTAGGAACAGGCCTTTTCTCTGCTTTCTGTAAGTCTTAATGCCTTTTTTTAAGCAGTATAATGCTGATGATTGCTATGGAAATAGCCCTGGTGGAAAGCCTGGAGATAGAGATGACATATCACAAAACAAAACCCTGTGGTCATTTACTTTGATTTCAACTTAAAGTGTTGAGTCCAGTTATACACATTTGTGACTAATAAAGCAGCTTTTTATTTACATTTCTTTTGGGGCAAATGAAATCTACTAATACAATATAAAATAATTGTAAGTGGGTACATTTTTTTCTACTTTTTGTCTTTTGATGTGCTTTTTTAAGAGGCAGACTTGTCTACTTTCTCATTGGTTTTATTACTAGTTTTATCTGAGGACATATGGCCATAGAAGAGCAGAGTCCACACCTGTTGTGCTGTTTTTGTTACTTCCTTATCTCCCTATATCTCCCTTATATCTGGCTGCATAGGTCATTTCCAACATTGAATGAGATCTCTAGAATCTCCATAGTGTATTTTACACTGCTTGAACAATCTCCTTAGAAAAGCATTGCCAATAGAATAGGATGCTTAGAAACAGCCCTACATTGTCCATTGCTGGCTAGAGGAGTATACATCTCTCCAGGATTTGGTTGTGGACAAGTAGACAGTTCCACAGAGCAGCTGGACATAGGGTAATATATGTTACATATTTCTGGGCCCTACACATTATAGGGTATCAGATTCTGGGTTATTCACTGTTAAACTATGTATTGCTAGACTCAGATTACACTGTTTTATCTATGTAAAATGTTAACCATACTTGCACTTATGATCCCCATAACTAGTGCAGTCCTTAGAACCATTGCATTTCTGTTTTCTTTTTCTTGTATATTTTAACCACACTGGAAGTTGTCTCATCCATGTTCTTGCACAGTGAATCTGCCTATCATTTCAGTTTGATGCTGATGTGGACAAACAGTAGCCAAATTGACCAAAATTCTGTGAATCACATAAGTAAAATGTTGGTCCAGCTGTCTTCGGTTCTATAAGGACGTCTGGATTTGGATCTACTGCAGTTCACTGTGAAATTGAGGGAAAATGGGGGTACTCCTTTAAGCCAGAGGACAGTGTAACTATAAGTGATAGGACGTTATGAGATCATTATTGTGATAAATTAAGTCACAATATCCTTTTTTATCCTTGGTTTAGAAGAGGGTCCCAAGTGGCATAACTATCTAAGGTTTTGGACTATTAATGGGACATCACAAGATTAAATCCTGACAGTATTTTTTTTTAAGTATGTGAAATACATTTTAACTACTTTGTTTTATTTCAAAATGCATCCCAAAAACTGTGGGACAAAAAAACATTTTGGCCATTTTTATACATTTGTAAATATATTTGATAAGTACACTTTACATATATTTATTTCCTGTGTCCAAGTGAGCAAAATTGGTCCTTCTTGGGAAAAAAAAATATTGTACTTGTAGTTTTTCATGTGATTTTTTGAAAAAGTGTCAGTTCTGACACAATGTTTCTGTTACATATTGTGACTTGTTAATATGTCCCCAAGTATTATGACATTACTGTTTCTGCCTTATTGCTCATCTCTGAAAAGTGAATCCTGACACTTGCACCGTGCTGGTCAAGGCTCTGTGTCTATTTGTGTTTGAAAGATGTTATTCCTTCCAATGAATGAAAGGGTTAATTCCAGTTCACATCCAGATGGTGTTCTTTTTTTGGAGATCAGGGCTGTGACTTCCTAAGCTGCATATTGTTGCTGTCGGACTATATG